TGTACATCGTTTGACACACAAAATAATTTTTGGACTCACTTTTACTCCCTTATTCAAATTCATTGAATAAGAGAGGAGGAGCGCTTCCCTGATTCCCGTTGTCTCAAAAAAACGTATACGCTCCGTTTTATCCTCCCTACTCGCCCACATGCTTGTGTCCTTCATGTCTAGGCATTATTGTTCCAATAATCGATTTTACCTTTGGAATTAATCGATTATCGCGTCCAGAAGGAACTAATCGATTAACACCTTTGGTTTTAATCGATTATCACTTTTCTGCGCAGAAGGAATTTGGCTCTGACAATTTTAATCGATTTTTTCAGCTGCCATAATCGATTTTTTATGATGCATTAATCGATTATGGTGATGCATTAATCGATTATGATGCTGCATTTTTCATCACAGCTTCTTTTCTTGGACCAACGGATATATTCCTTCAACCCCTTTATAAACTTCACTCCTTAGTCATTTTTACGATGCACAAGCACTCTTAAAATCCCCCAATCTTGAGGTTATAATCCTCCATTCATTTCTTCCTCAAATTGATATATTTTGAGAGAAAACTAAGTGTTTTCAAGAGAGTGTTCTTGTCATCCATTAGAGCTTTAATCATTTCTCTTATCTACTCTTTTGAGAGCTATTGTTGAGAGGTTGAAGAAGATTGTTCTTCTTGTTGTTCAAGGCTTATGTGATTTAAGTCTTGGTTGTGAAGTCTTGTAGAGGGCATATCTACGAGCGGTTGTGTCGAGGCTTGTGGGACTCAAGTTCTCGAGTTGTAAACGGTTTGTTAAGCACCCGTAAGCTTAACGGAAGTAGTGGTAGCTTCGAGAGAGTCTCTCGGGGAACTGGACTAGCCACGAGGTGGTGAACCAGTATACATCGGTGTGCTCTTTGCCTTCTCTATTTTATTTCCGCTGCACTTACGTTTATATTTTTAATCCTGCGAAAATCGGTAAACATTCTCTGCAACTCTATTCACCCCCACTCTAGAGTTGCACGCCTTGTCTAACAAGGTAGGGCCACAGAATGGTTCAATAAACTCCCGCCGGGAGGTATTGATTTATTTGCTGAATTGGCCTCAAAATTCAAGGCCAAATTCTAGGAAAACTGCACGAAAAGGAAGAAGTTCACTTATCTGAGCACAGTCGGGAAAAGGGAATCTGAGAACCTTACTCAATTACTAACCCGGTGGAAGGATGAGGTGGACAAAGTCGAGGAGATGGATGACAAGACGGTCTTGTCGCTTTTGTTGAACATCCTGCGTGCCGGGGAACTATACAAGGAGTTCTGCCGGAGGCCCCCAACGACTAATCAAGAGGCTTATCACACAGCTTGGGAATTTGCTGAGGCCGAAACCCAAGACCAGGCAAAGAAGGAAGTGGAGCGCGGCCACAAGCCCAAGCCGGTGCAGGTGAAGAAGGAAGACGCTCTTGGGCCTAGCATGCCCAGACACCATTATGACCCGGTCATACATGTGGTTAAGGCGGAGGAGTGCCTCGAAGTGAGGAAGGCACCGGTCATCCCAGGAGGGAACCCGAGTCGCCAATGGTTGGAAAAATAATGTTTGTATCATAAGTCTAACTCCCATAACACTTCTGGATGCAAAAGTGTCAAAGGAGTTGTCTGGCAAATGATCGATAGTAGAGAGCTGGGTAATGAATACCTGCAGAAGGCGCAGGATAAAAACCACCAATGGGTGAGGCTTGAAGCTGAGAGAAACGACTGGGACAAAGGCAGAAGGAGAAATGACCAGAATAGAGAACGGAGGCCGACTCCAGACAAAGAACATATCAGGATGATCTTTGGTGGACCGGAGGGTGGAGACTCTGCTGTTCAGTGGAAAAACTGGGTCCGAAGCATTTACGTGGGATAGGTAAGCGCAGACCCAGTCAGAAGAAAGAAAATAAGGAGAGAACTGATCGTCTTCACCGACCAGGATCTCCCTTCTACCGGTGATGACCATAATGACCCTTTGCTTATCGCCATGGACATCAACGGGGTGGATGTCTCCCGGGTATTGATTGACACGGGTAGTAGTGTCAATGTACTGTACCTAGAAACTTTTCAAAAGCTCAGGTTGTGTCAGACATAACTTGAACCTTTGAAAACTCCTTTTTCAGGCTTCACGGGAGATACAGTTAAAGCAGAAGGATCAATCGTCCTACTGGTCAAACTGGGCACGAAAGACAAAACCGTGTGGAAAAAGATGCAATTTATTGTTGTGGACATCAAGTGTGTCCATAACGCTATCCTTGAGAGACCGGGCATCAACCAAGTCCGGGTCGTGATCTCAATGCCCCACATATGCATGTAATTCTACACCCTGGGTGGTGTGGGCGAAGTCCGGGGAGATCATAGAAACGCACGTGAATGTTATACATGGGTGGTTGAAAAGATGACAAAGGGCATCAACGTCTTCTCGCAAGTGATAACAAAAGGCAAAACTCGGGAGAGGATTGAACCCAAAGCTGAAACGGTGGAAATTGAACTCCACCCGGGTAACTCTTCAAGGATGGTTCGAATTGGAGCAAACTTTCCCGAAGACCTACGGGATGAAATAACCCGGGTACTCCGAGAGTACGCGAGTATCTTCGCCTGGAGTGTGGTAGATATGCCTGAGATAGACCGCTCAGTTATCTGTTACCGGCTGGGAGTGAGGGAAGGAGACATGGCATTTAGGCAGAAGAAGAGATACCTGACCAACGATCGCCGGGATTTTGTCAGGAAGGAGGTAAAAGACCTCCTTAGGGTTGGCCACATTCGGGAAGTAAGATATCCCGAATGGCTAGCAAACGTCGTGCTCGCCCCCAAAGGGGACACTTGGATGATGTGTGTGGATTACAAGGACTTAAACAAAGCTTGTCCGATGGACTCCTACCCACTACCGAGTCCCGATCAGATGGTGGATGAAACTGCCGGGTGTGAGCTCTTAAGTTTCATGGACGTCTTCAAGGGCTACCACCCGATCTACATGGCAAAGGAGGATGAGGAAAAAAAGTCGTTCCTCACACCCGAAGGTATCTACTGCTACCGGGTGATGGTGTTTGGTTTGAAGAACTCAGGGGCAACATATTTTTTTCTCGGTAATGTTTTTTAAAAATAAAATATACTCCGTATGAGTTTTTTTGGATAAAAATTTGATGTTTTAATCATGTGTATAGTTAGACGACTTTATTGTTAAATCAACTCTAAAGTTTTTTAAATTTAATATTTTTTATTTAGATAGTTGATTTAATTGAGGGATAGAAAGTAGAAACATTATGGATGTGAAGAAGGAATGAGCAAGGAATGAGCAGGTACAAGTGAACAACACACGACACACATAAAAAGAACAATGCTATTACCTTCGTCGCAGATTATTTGTCTAGTTTTAACTTTTTTTAGTCAACTATTTTTAACATTTAACATATAATTAAATTAAATATATATTATATATTAATTAGATAAAATAATATTTTAAAAATATCTTATATAATAAATGTAACAAAACGTTTTTGTATCAATATCTAATACTCCCTTCGTCCCAAAAAGATTGGAACATTTTGACAAAAGTGGTAAAATAAGGAGAGATAATTTTGTGTTGACTTTCCAAAAATACCCTTGATGTGATGGGTAAAAGTAGGATGTGATGGGTAGATTATTAGGAAAAAAGTATGATGTGATAGGTAGGGTATGAAAAAGTAAGGGGTAAAAGTGGTTTTTAATAGAAATAGAACGGACTTTAAGGGACGTAAATTTTTCGAAACGCAAGAGACTTTTTGGGACGGAGGGAGTATCATTTCTTTTTAATTTATGGTCAAAGTTTACCAATTGTGACAAAAAAAATCAAATTGGATAAATACTTCGAGACGGAGGGAGTACATTCATAAACAAAATAATCACAAACTTCACAAACTTATCATTTATGGTTTAGATTTTCATCTCAAAATTATTTTAAATTATTTAATTTTTTTATTGAAGTTTATAAATAATAAATTTGTCATTTTTGTAATCATTTTATTCGTGAATATAGTATTTTTCAAAAAAAATCATCAAAGAATTTTCAACACATCGTAAATTTAAGCCAATGGGCCCAGTAGTCTTTGTAATGGGACGTTGTAACGCTCCTTAATAAATTACGGAGTATTAGAGGACCTATTGGCTGAATACGGCCAAGTTAAATTCTCCATCATGATTGATGTACCTCATGTACCAAAAAATAACTCACCATCTTGAATTAACACGTTGCCTCGAAAATTGGTTACCCATCTTTTCCTTCATGTGATAATCCCAGGGCAGATTAAATTAAATTATTCACAAAATAAAGTCATAAGTGTTAACATCTCTAGATGTGAATGTGAGTAAAAGGAAAAATACTAAAATAAAAGTGTCATGTTTTTATTTATAAAAAAGGAATTTGCACTTTGGTAATAAGTCGTTATACATGTGCTACGGAGTACTATATTTTTGGTAATGTACATGGTGATGATTGGTAATGTAAATGTATTTTGATTCCTATTTCGAAAATAAAAACAGGGAATTCCTATTTTGATATATTTTAGATGTTTTACTTTTACTTTAGTCTTTTATCCGAAATGAAGCAACTGGTGCTCCACATAAGCTCCACATCAACGCTTTTAGTTAGTTTAAGCAATAATTCCTTAAGCATCTTGCACTAAGAGGGTGTTTGTGAGTGATTAACTTATGGATAAAGTGATTTTTACAAAAGCTAAAAGCAAAAGCACCTCATGCCTGCTTCTTCGAAACGGTGTTCTACGTACAAAATAGTGGTGGTGAAAAGCAAAAGCTGACATGCCAAACAGAGTAAAACCACTTCTATTCAAAGCAGAAGCTACTAAAGATGCTCTAAGACCCTTAAAAGAATAAAAAGCATGTGCTAACAGGTGTGTTGTTTGTTTCATTAGTAGAACGATCAACAAAGACCACAAACAAATCTTCACCACAAAGTGTTTTGAGGTGAGATTTTTATCTTGGAGTTCCACATCATCAGGAAATAAAGAATAATACCACTAATATATATAAAAGGGTGAAACCCTACTATCAGTTTAAGTTTTTGGATTAGAATAGTGGATCTAACTATACATGCAAGTAGCTAATTTTACCTGATACTCTACCTGTTGTTCTCGACCCACCGAAATTTTAGCATGGTATCGGAGCAGGTCCGTTTCGGGTTCGATTCTTCCTGGTTGCTACCCGTCCGTGGTTTGAATTAAGCTGACTAAAAGAGATATAGAGGCCACAGCCGTTATGTGGACTAGCTATAAGATTTTGAGATACTAGACCGTTTGTCCAAGTGCTAACTAAGCAAAGGTAGTTACCACTTGAGGGAGAGTGTTGGAGTTCCAACATTGGAAAATAAAGAATAATACAACTAGCATAAATAGAAGGATGAAACCCTACCTATCATCTTAAGCTTTTGAGTTAGAATAGTGGATTCTCACTTTATATGCAAGTAGCTAATTTTACTTGACACTATATCCGTTGTTCTCGACCCCCCGAAATTTTAACAGTTTCCGCCAAAATGACAGCAAGATATCTTTATGTATGCATTGCAATCTAATTTTTTTAAAATCAAATTAAACTATAACATTCATTATCATTATTCAAATGTAATACTCCCTCCGTTTGGAAAAAGTGTTCCCATTTTGATTTGGGAGCAAAAATAAGGAAGTGTTAAATTATACTCCCTCCGTCCGGAAATGTTCTTCCCGTATTGACTTGGCATGCTTATTAAAGAATAGTAAAAAAATGCAAAATTTTCAAAAATGCACATACTATAAACTTTTAAATCTCCATTTATTATTAAAAAAAAGTACTAAAAAAGTATATTTGTGATAAAATAGAAGGGTATTATTGATATTTAGCCTTAAAAAGTATACTAAAAAAGGAAATGGGAATAATATTTCCGGACGGACCAAAAAGGAAAATGGGAAGAATATTTCCGGACGGAGGGAGTAGTTGATTTCCAATTTTGCCCCTGATGTGATGGGTAAAAGTAAGATGTGATGGATAGATTATTAGAGAAAAAGTATGATGTGATAGGTAGGGTATGAAAAAGTAAGGGTAAAAGTGGTTTTTTAATAGAATAGAGAAGTGTTTTGTTGGAAGTGGAAAAAATGAAAGAAGAAGTGTTATTGAGAACAGAGGGAGTAGTATTTTCCTATTTTTGATAATGTATTCTTTGTTTGTATAATACTCACTCGTCTCTAAAAACCAATCTCCTTACTTTTTTAATCTGTTCCAAAAAAATTTCTTATTTCTATTAAAAAGTCACTTTTACCCTTACTAATTCTTAACCTACATATCACATTGCATCTATTCACTATTAATCTACTCATCAAATCATACTTTTATCAATCATATCCAAGGACAGTTTTGAAAATTCAACAATAAAATACAATCTCCTTAAAAATCAAAATATCCCATGTTTTCAAGGATGTAGCTAAGGGAGTATTTGATTTTATAGGAATTAATTACACAACGAACTCACACATGATATGTGTCTGTGTATGTTTTAAATACACAAGAGTCTCACAACGACAACAACAAAAACAACTTAGTTGGGTCTCACAAGATAGGGTCCGGGAAGGGTGTGTCATGTTCCACATGTCCACCTTACCCCAACTCGAAAGTCGGGAGACTCTTTCCAAGAGATCCCCGGCTCACACAGCAAAAGTAATAAAAGATAATAATAGTAATTAAAGATCTAATAAGATACCTAAAAAGCATACAAAGCACATACATTTAATCCAAAGCACACAAAGGCAAAGGACAAATTAATGTTAATGAAAGAAAAATAGTGCAAACGGAGAGCACCAAACATAGAAGGCATATAAAGCACACGAAAAGTCTAGAAAACTATTCCATTCGTTCTAAAAAAGAATTCCTATTTTGACCAAGTGTAAAAATAGTTAAAAAAGAATTCCTCGTTTTTCTAAATCCACACATTTTGTAAAAATGGATAGATTTATATTTAAAACAATAAAAAATAAATATAATATGTGGACTAACTTAACAATAAATTAGACATTTATCATAAATGAGATAGATTTTACCAAATAAGGTGTCAATTTAGCAAGATCCTAATAATAAGAAGAACAACGTACAATAACAACAACGTATAATAATAATAATAATAATAATAATAATAATAATAATAATAATAATAATAATAATAATAATAATAATAATAATAATAATAATAATAATAATAATAATAATAATAATAATAATAATAATAGTAATAATAATAATAATAATAGTAATAATAATAATAATAATAGTAATAATAATAATAATAATAATAATAATAATAATAGTCATCATCAATTTATCATAATTATATAAATTGTACGTATGGACGGTAAGGTAGGAAAAGATGGGTGTGTTCCCTTGGGCCATTTCAATACCATACCATCCCACGTAGTGCAGAAGCTAATTAATGCATAGCCCTACATGGGCATGCATGGATGTTATGAGCAATAATATATGGATGTGAGCATTATATATATACGAGTAGCTTGGTACCAAATTAATTGCAATGGGTACCCACTGACTTCCCCAAAATTTTTTTACTACATACTCCAATTAACAATTTTCCCAACTCATTGATCCATCATGGAGCATGCTACTCTACACTAAAATTTGTATTCCATTTCTACACCAAAGATATGCACCAACACTTTGATGGTTCACATTGACACAAAGTGTTGGTGGGTTAACAAAAATTTACACTAACACAAAGTGTTGGTGCATTAACAAAAATTAGCATTACATCGACACAAAATGTTAATGTATCCTTGCGGTGTACAAAATAGGATACAAATCTTTGAGGTACAAATAGTTTTATCCATCCATCATTTTATCGAGTTACATACATTTAAGTTTGGTATTAATGTGATTTTCAACAAGTCATCTAACTACATCCTTTTTCCATGGATAATTTACGTAAATATGACTTAAATATTTCATTTTTTCTAAATAGGACAAATGTTATCTACTTTAGCATTTGATAATGAAAAGTTTTAAAATGTCACGCATTCAATCAGGTTTTTGTCCATTTCTGATTGTAAATATTGTTGGGTTGAGATACATTTGATTTTGTCCCTTAGTGATTGTAAATGTGCCTGGTTGAGAATGCATGGATTAATGCCCAGTATCCCAAAACTGTAATAACCATTGGATTAATTTTTTGGTGGGAAAATTGAATGCAATTTTGCAGAGATTTCCCATCAGCTTATATATATATATATATATATATAGTAGATATGACTCATATTTTAGTTATTATTCTTATTATTTAGCTTTATATTCCGGAGTATATTTAAAATAAAACTTTCATTTCAATCAAAATGCTAACAAATCGAGGAAATTCAATCATGTTTATATGATTTTTCCATTTCCATTCCATAGTAATTAATCATTATATATGACCTTAGGAATATATTAAAAAATTGAAATGAATGTACACAAATACTCTTATGAATAATCAAATACTCTTATGAATATATATCTACTTTCATTTATTTTTAATATGAAGTACATTAAAAGAGTCATAATAATCAAATACTCTTATGAATAATCAAATACTCTTATGAAGCTGGACCTTCAAAAAGCCTATGATAATATCAGTTGGAAGGCAATTGAGCAGCTCCTATTAATATTCAAATTTCCCTCCAAATTCATCAAATGGATCACATACTTCATATTCCATCCAGTTTGAAGGGGAAAGTCATGGCTTCTTTAAAGGCAGAAAAGGTATTAGACAAGGTGATCCAATATCCCCCCTCCTGTTTGTGCTTGTCATGGAGTATCTCACTAGGGCTTTCTTATTCTCTACAAAGAAAGAAGATTTTTCTTATCATCCTATGTGCAAAACTGTTAGTCTTATCAATATTGTATTTGCTGATGACTTAATTGTGGCCTGTAAAGCTGAGGAAAAATCAGTCTCTTGCATAATAAAGGCTTTAGAACATTTCAAAAGCACTACCGGGCTAGTTGTGAACAAATCAAAGTCAAAGATCATATTCGGGGGGGCTTCTAAGGAACTGGAAGAAAAGATCCTACAAATAACCAATATGAAGAAAGGAAGTTTCCCCTTCAGGTATCTAGGGGGACCAATCACTCCGTCCAAAATTAGTACCAAGGAATGTGATAGACTAGTGGAGAGCATGACTACTAAAATCACAGCCTGGTCAACCAAACACCTCTCTTATGCTGGAAAAATCAATCTAATCAACTCTGTTCTATATGGAATCATAACCTTTTGGAGTAGAATTTTTCTAATTCCAACAAAAGTGATGAAGAAGATTCAAGTATTATGCAGGAACTTTCTGTGGAGTTCCTATACTGAATATAGGAGAACTCCACCTGTAGCATGGGAGGACATCTGCACACCTAAAAAGAATGGAGGATTGGGTTTCAAAAACCTAGTCTGGTGGAATAAAGCTTGCATCATGAATTTGGTCTGGGATATTGCTCTGAAGAAAGACAATCTTTGGATAAAATGGGTTCATATCAGATATATTAAGGATCAAACCATCTGGAACTGCTCTCCTAAAACTGACTCTTGTTTTTATTGGAAGAAGATGCTTAAAACAAGAGATGAATTTGCCGGGATGGATAAAACTTCCCCATACTCTCCAAGAAGTGGATATCTTTGGTTAATGGGTCAAAAACAATCTCCTAGCTGGACTGGATATGTTTGGAACAAATTCACAATCCCCAAACATAAAATTATAATGTGGCGGATATGCAAGGATAGGCTGCAGACAAAATTGAGGATTCTCAAGTTCTTCCCAGTAGACACTATCTGCTTACTGTGTAAAATTGAAGAAGAGGACTGCTAACACCTCTTCTGCAAATGCACATACACAACAGCAGTATACACAGAGCTGAAAAGTGTACTAAGTATAAATTTGAAGGGAATACAATCGAAGACATATTTGAAAGGATAAAATCTGGTGGCCTTAACCAAAGGAGATTATGCTTGATTGCTATATTTGCTGCATGTGCTTATTTCATCTGGAAAGCAAGGAATGCTTGTCTACATAAGAACTCTTTCACACCAATGGAGGAAACATTCCAGAAAATCAAGTTCCACGCAAGCACATTCCTATCTGCCAAAGGGAATCACTATGACTAAGCCTCCTATTGCTGTGTACTAGAGATTATCTTATGAAGTAGTTGGGTGAAGATATGTAGTTATTGTTTATATGTTTTATGGCTGGACGCTTTGTATTTTTTCTGTATTATATTTGCATTCTGTTCAAAAAAAATAATAATCAAATACTCTTTCTGTCGCCCAAAATCTTTTTTTTCAATTGTTCCAAATTTTTTTATCATTTCTATTAAAAAGTTATTTTTGCCCTTACTAATTCTTAACCTACCTATCATGTCACACTTTTTTTACTATTAATATACTCATCACATCCTACTTTTATCCATAACATTCAAGAACATTTTCGGAAAGTCAAGATTAAAATATATCCCCCTTTAATCATTTAAAAGTCAAAACAGAAAATGTTTTGTGGGACGAATGAGTAATATGGAATGAAACTGGATCCCTCAAGTCTTGCACCGTTTATTAATATTCTTATTTTTTTCAAAAACACGTGCAATTAAATATTGGATTAAAAAATATTGCTATCCTAAAGCAATTTTTAAATAAAATATTTTAAAATAAGATGTAATTTTGTACGTCATTCAAAAAGTGAACATCTTTGAGGAATGGATGAAGTACAGTATACTACGTACTCCTCTGTTTATTAAAATCATTCCTCTTTCACTTTTTTTCTTTCACCAAAATATCTTTATTATTAAAATGACTAATATATCCAAATAAAATCATTGCAATATACTCCATTATTTATTCTACATTGGTATAATAAGTTATTTAAGTGATTTATCTTTTTTTTTCTTTTTGATGTTATTCATTTGATTAGAAAGTAAAATTAGAAAATATACTACGTATATTGCAAAAATGAAGACAGGAATTGTTTTGTTGAACGGAAAGAATGAACTTAGTAGGCCTAGAAATGAAATGTCCCGTGCAAGAAGGGTATATACAAATTAATTCACCCACCCGAGCTGCTAGGTCACCCCGCGGTTAGTTACGTTGGAAGAGCTAGCTACTTAGTTTCGAACCGGAATATATAGGAACCTTAGGTTATGTTTGATTGGAAGTAGGTAAAAGTTTTATTAGGTAGGTAATGGTCGGTAATTGAAGGTAGGTAACTGAAGATAGGTAAAGTAAAGTAATGAGTAAAAAAATTGTGTTTGGATGTTTAATAGGTAACGTGAGGTAGGAAAAGAATAAAATTACTAAAATATCCTTATGGTTGTTTTTCCTTATTTCTTTAGGATGTATTTATATGACTACAAATCCACCGAGCCAGAATGCCATCTCCAAGGAAAAATTCATATTGAAAAAAAACAAACAGCTAAAAAAAATTGAAAAACAAAACAATATATTTCAATAAATATTGAAAATATAGGTAAAAGAAAAGGCAAAAAACATAAAAAATGATATTAAAATACATAGCAAAAATGGAAAAAACAGCAAAAAAAATCAGAAAAAAAACATAAGAAAAAACGGCAAAATAATAAAACGAAAAAAAAAACAGCAAAAAAACCCCCCAAAAAATTTTAAAACACAACCGGAAAAAAACATAAAAACCAGAAAAAAACAAAGCATGTTAATACAATAATTAGAAAAAAACAGCAAAAAAACACAAAAACAGAAAAAAAAGAAAAGGAAAAAAGGAAAAAAATTGAGACCTCACCTTATGGCAGAGGGGGCCAATCGCAGAAAGAAAGGAGCAGCAGCAGAAATTTGCTTTGGAGACGTGGGATCGAACCAGAAGAACCAGTGCAGAAATAGGTGTGAGCAGAGGAAGGTTGAATCCTGAGTGGGATAGTTGCAGCGTTAGAGATGAAGAAGTGAGCAGAGGAAGGTTGAATCCCTTGAAGAAGAAGAGGTGCGATGAAGGAGAAGGGCAAAGCGGAAAAGAAAAGTTTAACCTCCTCTGACCGCCGGTAGCTCATTTTTCACTGTTCAGAGGTAATGTTACCTCCTTCCACCTCCTCTTACCTATCTTCAATTTCAATCCAAACAAGGTAACTTCTCAACTTAACCTTACCCTACTTCCCCCTACCTCCAACCAAACACAGCGTTAGTGTCATATACTCCCTTTTTCCTCCAAAAGAAACTTTCCATTTTGATTTTTAAAGAATTTAGGGGAGTGTATTTTGGTATTCACTTTCCAAAAATGCCCTTTGATGTGATGAATAAAGTAAGATGTGATGGGTAGATTAATAGAGAAAAAGTGTGATGTAATAGGTAGGTTAAGAATTAATAAGGGTAAAAATGATTTTTTAATAAAAAAAGAAAAAGGTTTTTTTAGGATGGAAGAAAAAGGAAAGGAGAAGGTTTTGTGGAACGGATGGATTATAATTGTAGGTATATATAGGTAGTTGAGCCCCCGGTAGGGCGGCAGTTGAAGTCATTAATGAATTAATTCCAGTCATAAGACGGGGGGCCCTAATCCTATAGAGTGAACCACCGACGACGACGATTTTAATTTTCTTGCTCTTCTTAATAATTCTCATCTATAAAAAGCCCCTCCCTCTTAAGCCTTTTCCACAAACATATACACACAAACAATCAATCCACACAATTTAATCTAGCTACCTGAATACCTAGCAATAACAACCGGAAATGGCGGCGGCGGCGATGAAGACGGTGGCATGCATGGCGGTTTTGTGCGTGCTTGTGATGGGGCCATCGGCGGAGGCGGCGATAACCTGCGGCGGCATCGTCTCGAAGCTGTCTCCCTGCCTTCCTTACGCCACGCATAAAGCACCCGCTCTTCCCCCCGCTTGCTGTTCCGCCATTTCAAGTATCAAAGCTGCCGCCAGTACCACCGCCGACCGCCAGGCTGCCTGCAGCTGCCTGAAGAGCGTCGCCGGCAAATATGCCGGCCTCGACCTCGGCCTTGTCTCTAGCATCCCCGGCAAGTGCAACGTCAACATTGGTTACCCCCTCAGCACCACCGTCGACTGCACCAGGTAGGTTTCTGCCTGTTCGATATGTTTATTGGCTTATTGCTGATAATTAGTACGGAGTAGTTTTTAATTTAAATATAAACTGCTCTTTAATTATGAGTTAAATTTATATTCTTTTTTGGAAGTAAAACAACTTAAGGGTCCGTTTGGTATACGGAATTGACGGAATTAGAATTGAATTGGAATTGAAATTCCATGGGATTCAATTCTGCCTATTCCAATTCATTTTTTGCACTATCAATTTCAAATCCACATAATTTCTGTGCTACCAAACACCAAAATTGGAATTGAAGTCCTCAATTCCAATTCCACAGTTTGAATTCCATGTACCAAACGGGGCCTAAATGATGGATAATTTATTCGCGATCGCCAATGTTTAATTAACAAGTTTGGTGTGCATAATGGTTCTGCAGGGTGCAGTGAGACTGATGGAGATAATTAAGCTAATAAGGGAGCCATAATCATATTTCATATTTGTGAGATCGATGCTGCTGGTTAATTTATGGAGTAGTCATTAATATTCGATCGATCAGCTCCCCATAAATGGAGTATTATATAATATATTTGAATATTTAATAATAAAAATAATATGTGTGACGAGGAATAAAAGAGGCGGAACCTATATACTATATATATGAATGGATCCCCGTGAGGGATGCCGTTTGTCAATTAGTAGTTTCTTTATTTCCTGTGATTAAGTACGTTATTACGCCCGGCCTATATATTGTCAATCTTGTTGTGTTCGATCATCATCATATCTTTCTCGTTGAATTGTACGTTTTCTTCATTTTAATGCTTATTCATACCTTTGTTTCTTGTTTTGCATTATTATTCTTGATTTATTATTATTATTATTATTATTATAAGAGTTGTTATTGTTATTAATTATTATGACGCAAATTATTATTATTATTAATCCATATTCACGAAATCAAGTTTACTCGAAATGTTCCAAAACAAGTTATATGTTTCACTAATTTTGATTCACAAGGCACAAATTATTAGGCTAATTTACCTAAATAGGACTAAAACATAATAACTTTCTCAATATAGGACTATCATATGTTTTTATTTTCTAATGTAGGACCATTGGTCATTATCTATTAGTCATTATTCAACTAAATGTCCAGCATCACTTGAACATTATTCTTCTCACTAGTCATTATTAAGTCCTATTAGGGAAATAAAAAAGTTTAAGTCCAACATTGGGAAATGACTTACGGAGTATGTTTTAGTCCTATCCAATGCAAATTTTACAAATTATTACCGATCTCTCATTAACAAAATTGGAATAAAGACTATAATCAGAAAGAGTGAAATTTGCTCTAAATAATACTCCCTCCGTCCCAAAAAGTCTATCCCGTTTCGAAAAAATTATGTCCCTTAAAGTCCGTCCCATTTCTATTAAAAAACTACTTTTACTCCTTACTTTTTCATACCATACCTATCACATCATACCTTTTTCCTAATAATCTACTCATCACATCCTACTTTTTCCCATCACATCAATAGTATTTTTGGAAAGTCAACCCCAAAATATCCCTCCTTATTTTACCACTTTAGTCAAAATGGGACAAACTTTTTGGGATGGAGGGAGTACTAAAACATACTCTCCGTTCTCAAAAAAAGTTCCTATTTTGACCAAGTGTAAAAATAAGGAAGTGTTAAATTGTACTCCCTCCGTCCCAAAAAGTTTGTCCTATTTTGACTAAAGTGGTAAAATAAGGAGGGATATTTTGGTATTGATTTTCTAAAAATACCCTTGATGTGATGGATAAAAGTAGGATGTGATGGGTATATTATTAGGAAATATGTATGATGTGATAGGTAAGGTATGAATAAGTAAGGGGTAAAAGTGGTTTTTTAATAGAAATGGGACGGACTTTAAGGGACACAATTTTTTCGAAACGGGACAGACTTTTTGGGACGGAGGGAGTATTTTTTTTTTTGAAGAAGAAGGGACGGAGGGAGTATGATATTACATTGACACTAGATATTTAGCTGAACAATGTCCAGTGAACATTGAATAGTTGTACTACATTGGGAAATAAAAAATATGATATTACATTGAAAAAGTCACTATGTTTTAATACGGAGTACTATTTAGGTAAATTCCCCTATGAAAAAATATAAGGAAAAAATCAATATAAACTTTTTCATATTTTTATCCTAAAACAAGACTTACAATATCAATAATGTCAACATATAATATCTAAAAACGAATGTGAAATATATGTCAATATACGCTGTCTAATTGCACTACACGAACTGACCAAATCTGCAACGGATATATTCTGTTGCAGAAAGCTTAATTTGGTCACATATAAAATACTCTCTTCGTGTCAAAAAGAAGAATACATTTCATTTTTTACGTATCACATAAAATACATCTATATCGTCTCAAATGCCAAAAAAACTTTCAAAACTACTGCTATCCTCAATAAAGGGTAAATAGGGTAAACTTAGGCACTTTAGATGTGGATATAGAACTGTCATGGATCGTACACACCAAGGCCCAACCACGCTTTGCCGGAGTAATAGGACGAGGTACGCGCCGCAGTGGCAACAAGAGTTTGATATACAGTAATTCCATCTTACTTATTATTATTAATGTAATCTAGATTTTCTTAGGTGATCAAAACTATAAGCTCTTTCGAGAGTTTCTTTACGATTTTTTACCTCGTCACTTTTCTATATATAACCGTCAGGGTAGAAAACGTAGTTATTAAGAATTGGGTTTATGTTATAAATAGGGTCTAAGCCTATGATTATGAATAATAAGAATTATACCCAAACCCTAATTCTCTCTCTCGTCTCCTGTCTCGTTCGGCCTACCCGCCAGCGCGAGCTTCTTCTCCTTCCCTACTCCCCATTCCGAGCTAGAAGACGCTTCCAGTCTTCCCCAATCGATACACCTATATCACTGGTGCTTTAATTGAGCTTTCTCTATGACGTCTGACAATATTTTTTCATTTCATTTAATTTTTATTTTAAATACAAACATGTTTATTTAAAAAAAAAATTATGAAGAAAAAAATAAAACAGAATGAAAAAGAAGATATTTTGCTCCGATATCCCAGTAGTTTGGAAAATATCACATCTTCAAATTTTATCGGTTTCGGATATTATCGGTTTTGGATCTAATCGGTTTTGGTTTTAACCGGTTTCAGGTATTATCGGTTTCAGATCTAATCGGTTTCGAGTTTATTCGGTTTGAATATAATCGGTTTCGGATCTAATCGGTTTCGAATTTAAATCAGATATGAATTATTTAGTTCGGTTTTGATTCAGTTCGGATCATTTTGGATTTTTGATATAGATCGGATCTTCATTTTTTGAATCTTTTTGGTTTCGCTTTTGGATAATTCAGTTCGGATAATCGGTCCCGATTCTATTTTGCCAGGTCTAGATTCTCCCCAATGAGGCCATAAATAGTGGATGCATGAGGAAGGCATCACCATCTCCTTCACGCCCACCCTCCCACGTCGCAAGAGTAGGGACGTGGCGTTGGCGCATTGCCCCTTCCTCCGTGATGACCATCCAGCAGTAACATTCCTTTTTCTTTTTTTATTTTAATTTCAACTAGTTAAAATAATCTAAATCTTTACCCGCATTACGTTTTGGTCACATCCTTTTTCAACTCACATATTACATACATGCCTTGTTTGGATGTTGGCTGTCAGATGTTGGTTGTTTGTGTTAGCTAGTTTGAAATGATTGTTTAGTTTAACTGGTTTGACCAGCTCGATGTGTTGATTATTGTTAAAAATATTTGGTAAAATTAGATATTTGAAAATAACTATCTCGAGATTTAAAAATTCATAAGAAATTAATAATTTTAAACTTTTTAATGATTTTAACTTTTGATTTTCTTGTTTCATTTGTTTTTTTAATTTTAAATTTTTCATTTTAATTTTTTTTTATTTTTTACATATATTATTGAGTATCTCTAAAGAAAAATGAAAAACACAATAATTTTTTCTAACTATCAAGTCAAAATCTACTCCCCATGGTCTTTTGAATTAAACAACTAATGTATCAATATTATTATTACTTTTAATTTAAATGTATAGCTTTAAATGTTTGAGGTAAATTTTTATTGTTTTTGTGTTCTTTGTTTAATTATACTCCCTCCGCCCCATATTTGATTACAACTTTTTTTCTCTCATCTCGATAACTTTTGTTTGTTTATGTGGTTTTCATTAAACATTTGATAAAATAAATTTTTCTTGTCACATCTTATTTTGTAGAACTTTTGACATAGTTTTTTTAATAGATAATTTTTATTTCTTACCGATATACCAATTTGTAAATAAAATGATTTCAAAAAGTGAGATATTTCTCATCGTAAACTCCAATTTGTAATCAAATTAGGAACGTAAGGAGTATAAATTAAAATAAGTGTTATAAAATAAGGGAGAAAGACTAAAGTAGGACCAAAACATTAAAAATATACTAAAATAGGACTTCCATGTTTTTATTCCCAAAATAGAACTTAAAATGTATTTACATTACCAAAAAGTATAGTAATGTGCACATGTACGGCATCACATTATCACAGTGCGAAGTCTTATTATCAGAGAAAAAAATATGAAAGTCTTAAATAGATACTTCTCTTTATATTTTAATCCTATTTAAGATGATTTCTAATAAAATAAAAGAAAAAAAGTGATGGGAAAAAGGGAAGCTATTTCATATTTTCATCTATACTTTATTTAAAAAGAGGTGAATGTTTTCCCGCCCAAACATGAGACTCATATATGGAAAGTGTTGACAACAAAAATGATAGTTTAATTATTTGGCCTTATTGTTTTCCTTCTATTTTAAGTATGTTTTCATTTTTATTAAAATGTTACACCGTTTAAATACTTAAATTAAATTAATTTAAATTGTAGTGAACCATTGGGGAATTAAAGTATGGAAATAAAATACACTACCATTTAAATATTAAAATAAAATTAAAAAACTTTTAATTAATAAAGTATGAGCGGGATTAAAATGATTTATTTCAAAAACTACAAATTAATTATTTATTACAATTTACAAGCACGGACGTGTAAAAATGGTAAGTTTTCTAAAATAGATTAGAAAATATATATGGTACGGTAAGTAAATGATAACATTTAAATACAATAATAAAATAAAAAACTACAAATTAATATTAATACTATAATTTACAAGCATGGAAACATTTTAAAATGACACGTGTTCTAATTAGAAAATTAGAAAAATAAATAGGTATGGTACGGTAAGCAATTGGCATCATTTAAAAACGAAAATAAAATAAATGGTAAGTGTTCTAAAATAAATTAGAAAATAATGTGGTTTGGTAAGTAATTAGTACGATTTAAATATGAAAATAAATAAAAAAACTGCAAAATTAATATTAATACTATAATTTATAAACATGAAAATGTTTTGAAAAAGGTAAGTGTTCTAATTAGAATATTAGAAAATAAATACAATACAGTATGTCACCACGATAAGCAAATGGTACCATTTAAACACAAGAATAAAATAAATGGTAAGTGTTCTAAAATAAATTAGGTAATTGTTCTAAATAAATTAGAAAATAAAATAAATATCAAAATGGTAAGTGTTCTAAAATATAATAGAGAATAAATATGGTACGGTAAGTAAATGATACCATTTAAATACAAAAATAAAATAGAAAACTGCAAATTTTTACTATCAATTAATACTACAATTTACAAGCATGGAAACATGTTAAGATGGTAAGTGTTATAAAATAAATTTAAAGATAATACTCCCTCCGTTTCTTAAAACCCTTCCTCTTTCATTTTTTTTGTTTTTCTTAAAACACTTCCCCTTTCTATTAAAAAACCACTTTTACCCCTACTTTTTCATACCCTACCTATCACATTATACTTTTTCACTAACAATTAAACTATCACATCTTACTTTTACCCATCACATCAAGGACAAAATTGGAAAGTCAACTGTAATTTAACACTTCCTTATTTTTCCCCAAAGTCAAAAGAGAAACTCTTTTGAGAAACGGATGTAGTATGGTACATAAAATAAATGGTACCATTTAAATGCAAAAATAAAAAAATTATAAATTAATAGTATTAATACTATAAGCATGGAAACATGTAACAATGGTAAGTATTCTAAAATTAATACTATTAATTCTATAATTTACAAGCATGGATAAGTATAAAATCGTAAGTGATCTAAAATAAAATAGAAAATAAATACCATAGAGTAAGTAAATGGTAACATTTAAATACGAAAATAAAACTAAAAAATACAAATTCCGAAATAGATACATTAATATGTTGAATTATTATTTAAATAAGTCAAATTATTGAATTATTGTCAGGGACAATATCTGAAACATGTTGAATTATTGTTATTACGGAAACCGGTATTTAGTCATGGGCAAGTGTTTGTTGCAGTTTCAAAAGTAATAAATCACAATGACTTGAAGATTCTGATATACAACGAAGTAAATGCTTACACGAATTATACGAGTGATGTAGTTTATAAATAAGTCTTTCGAAATTTGTAAATCATTTTACTTTTGTACTTTAAAATAATGAAATTTCTATATTCCATTATATACCAATTTATATTTCTAAAAATGATCTTAAGTTAGTACCATAACTATGACCCGTGCAACGCACGAAGGGAAAGAGAAAAAAAGGAAAAATAAAAGTTGAGCACACCCCATAGCCTAACCAGACTACCAGAGTTGTGAGGCGCCTGCGTGTCACCCGTCAAGCACTCTTAAACCACCCACAAACATAGCTTAGTTTGGAGAAATTCAAGGGAGACAAGCCCTAACCAGTTTGGCCGGCAGCCGGAAAAGCTGTGTTACAACATTCTCATGAATCCCTTCCGAAACCCCAACGCTCAGCTTCCATTAATGAATCTCGTGAGGCTTAAAGGTGTTCCCATTTTGGAGCAGTTGCATTTGGAGGAGCGACTGTTAAGGACCTCGTCCGATAATTGGTGCATCATCAACGACGGAACCGATCAACCCACCATCGTTATGGGCGTCTCTGGGTATGATTCACAGTCTTATCTATTGTTACGTCATTTTTATGGCTTTGAGTGTAGATTGCTCATTGTTGTTTTTATGTACGGACTTTTTGATAATTCATCACTTTTGTTTATGCTAGTTTTCTTGTTTGTTTATTCAAGAATTCTTGAGTGAAGTGCAAATGTGAAAGAACTGAACTGAGGAAAATAGAGCTTTTAGAATCAAATCAATGTACCCCGGAGTATAGAGAATTGGCCGAATGCTTGAAATGCATTAAATTAAGTCGTTCTTTGTTATTTCATTTGAGATTTTCATTAAGTTGAATGTGGCATTTGAATATCAGAAAAAATTCTATATCCCCAAATAAAAAATTCCCAATCCCTGAGATTACTATAACTTTTAAATTGTTGCTCTTAAATTCTGAGCAAAGACCATTCAAATGAAACAATGTATTCCGTATTCATTGGGTAAGTCGTGGAAGGATAAAATAAATATCCAAATTCCAACTTGCTGTGCAAACCTCACTTTGGTTGTGAACCGAGAAATTACTATACATTTGTATCCTTCAAACGGGACAAGGTATAACAACGATCCTATTATGCATATGTCACTTCTGGTGTGTTGGTTCCAATGCCTTAAGGCTTAATGAGCGTGATTGTTGTGAAGAGAGTCAAATGACTTAATAATCGGTCACATCCAAATTGAATGTGCTGTTAGTCTTTTACTAGTTTTAGGTGTTCATATAGTGATCAAATGGTTAATTTCTAGCATAGTTTCAAAAAGCTGTTCAGGGGTACTTCTTATGGAAAAGATATAAAAGATTGTCTCTAGGCCTTCTTGTCTTGCCTTCTCCAAGTAATATTATTTGATGTTATGCCTTTAGGCATACACTGGTGAAAAGATGTACAATTCTACATGCAATTATTGCCTATGTTCTACGTAGTTTAGCGCAATACGACTTGCATTCAATTAAAAGATTATGCATACTTTCAGTGAGATTTTTAAATGTTTGTTCACTACCTTTTCTTTCTTTAGTTCTATACTCGGCTGATTTCTTCTATTTGATGCTACTTAAAAACTTTTATCATTACTCGTTTCAGAAGTCAAGCTTTCTTCTTTACTTGACTTCCATTTCATCCTAGTTTTTATGTTGTAAAATTAACTTGTACATTAAAAAAAATTACGCTTAGAACATACTCATGCAATTACAGTTCTTATTATGAGTCACGAAGTCATATATATTTTCTTTTTTATTTTCACATATGTGATCAATTATTTCAATTATTATAAGTACTATGTTTATTGTGAATGAGACTTGGTTGTACTCAAGGCTCACGCATCTTGAGGCTATTGTGAACCCCATTTTACCTTCAGTTTAACAACAACACTGTCACTTATGTATGCTTGCATAGAATTACTCCCTCCGCCTCTTATCATTTCCCAATTTGACTGTAGTGGAATTTAAGAAAATGAAATCTGTGTGGTTAAAATTTATGTAGAAGGGAGATACATAATGTGAACCACATATTGGTTTCTTGCATGCAAATGAGACAATTTTTGGATGAGCATAAAAGGAAAGTGTGAACATAATTTAGGGATTGCAGTAGTATTAATTTATAATTCTATTATATCCATTTGGTGAAAAAGAGTTGGGACGTCAAAAAAGGAAAGTCTAAAGAATGTTATGGGACATAGGGAGTATTATTTAATGGGTGTCTCTTTGTAGTGCCATAGTGCTCATTTTGTTCTGTAGAGTTTATAAGCTTTAATGACAATCCTCCTCTTCTGCTTTCTTGATGGTTGTAACTCTAAAGACAATTCTGAAGCACACAAAACAATATAAGTATGAATTTTTTTTTAACCTTTGCGCTTTACGAAGCAATGTTCCAAACAGAACTTGACCATAACAATTATCTCACCTAACAGCCCTCTCAGAATACTTTCATGCTAGCCCATCCCCCCACCCACCCAGCCAAAATAATGATGTTATTTTTGGAACGAACATTTTTTCTTGCAGGAAACCTACTCAACTGATTGAAGTTCATTCTGTTTTACAAGATAAGGTTCCAGTCATCAAGAGGTTTACTGGTGGAGGCACAGTGATTGTTGATAATGGCACTATATTTGCATCCTTCATATGCAATAAGGAAGCCGTTCCAGGTGTACAACCATATCCCCAACCTATCATGTCATGGAGCAATATATTATACAAAAATGTGTTTCAAGGCATTGGAGATTTCGCTCTTCGTGAAAATGGTGTGCATATAATACAACTATAATCTTGTACTTCTCAATTTCTCATGTCCTGCAATTTTTTACCCTTTTTTTGTGTTCGTCCCACTGATTTTTTCGTACCATATTTCCTAAGGAGAAATACATGTGTAGCTCACATTCGTTATCATTTTTTCTTACTTTTTAACTTCAATATTAATCACACAATTCCACTTTTTAAAAAATGTTTGTCACTTCTTGTCCCAAAGATAGTGAGACAGAGGGTGTAATTGTTAAATGAATTGCGTCACTCTAAAAAAGTTATACTCTTCCATAAAGGCAATTTTTATGGCGTTTAAATCCGGACAGAGGTAGGATTATGGAGTATTGATTGCATGCTGCCTTTTAGTCTAGTGTTGATCCTTAACCCATAGTTCATTCATCTGCCATATTTCCATCTTTCACATAAGCTTGTTTCCTTCTTGGTGAAATGGCTGGAATTCATTTCATGTCAAGTATTGGCCTGTTGGAAAATGAGTTCATGACTTCAGGAACTTAAAAATCCTTACTTTCACATTTATTTTGGTTGGTTGGAAGTGTTCTGCTCACATAATTTTTCAGATTTTCTTTGAACTTTTTCAGATTATGTATTTGGCAACCATAAGTTTGGTGGGAATGCACAGTCTATCACAAAAAACAGGTGGATTCATCATACATCGTTTTTATGGGATTTCGAAACACCAAACATGGCTTACCTCAAACTTCCAAAACGAGCTCCTGACTATAGACAGGTGTGCTTTAACTACATCTTCAGTCCCCACACCGACCTTTTTATTTTCTCTTCCATTTTCCATACATAAAAATATAAAATATACCTCCCTCCATCCCATAGAAAGAGTCATGTTTTAACTAAGATAGAACAATCAAAAAATCATCAATTTTAGCTATATCTTTTTAAATTTATGTGTTGTTTAACTTAGTTCAATCCCTTCAATTTGTTCGCGAAACTCTATTTCAATGAACAAAGGTTAAATATGATGAAAATTAGCCCATGTTTTGTCATCCATTTGTTATTCTGGCAACATGCAACTTTAAGTTTGCATAATATATGTGCATTAGCCATTAGCATTACAACTCATTTGATTCCCTTTCAAGCAATTTGAATTCTTAGACACTCGGATTTATATGTATAAATGGATCAAATTATGGTCTACACCAGGCAAGAGGGCATTTGGAGTTCATATGCAGACTGAAGGACTACATGTCCAGAACAGCCTTCATCGATAAGACCATAGATGCAGCCAGAAGTTATTTTTCTGTGAGATTACCGGAGCTTGAAGAAATTCAACGAGACACGTTGAGCATCAAATTTACACCTGCTTCTAGGCTTGTTACATGTGAGGAGTTGGAGAAAGAGGCTGCCATTGTTGGGGTAACTAGCACCAAACAGACAAGATGATTTTGGGGCCCTTAATTTTCTGATTTTTGGTACAGAGGAAGTATATATCCACCAGCTAATATAGGCTTTCTCCCATAATATATTGAAGCACACAAAGACAATAACATTGGCAATGCTAATGCTTGTTTGGCCTTTCACTTCACCTATTGCTTTCTTCAACTTGCTTGGCATTATTTATTTCTTATCTCACAAGCCTACAATGAAATGGTTGTTGTTTCTTCACAATTTGCCTAAGATTTGTTCTTGGTGGATAAAGGGGAGATTCTTTGGAGATTATTTTCGTTTTTTCATCTTTTTTTTTGATTAGTTTAATTTGGGTTTTTTTTCCTTCACGAAAATGTGTGAATTTCCTAGAGTCACGCCACTACACATAACCAACAAACAAAATCCTAAATACTCTAACGTTTGACCATTTATAATTTGGAAGGACACTATGATCCAATTCTCAAACAATAGAAAGCATTCGTTTATAGCATTACAATCAAAATCCACAAGACTAAAGAGCTCTCAATGCATGCCTAAAAATAAGCTTAAGAATCAAGCACAAATTTGGTACGGAGTAACAAATTTGAAAATTGATTCCTTTGATTTTTGGAGTACATGGAGTATCTCACAAGAGATTATAGAAACACTTAGGGGAGTTGTATATCTACACTCTAGAGTTTGTTAGTGCAGATTACTTTTCTAAGAGTAGAGAGTAGTGAATTCCAAGCAAAATAGCTATGAGCCTATGAATCATATCAAATCTCAAAAATTCCTACTAAATCCTTCTATACTATTTACTCCTTATTTATCATTTTATTTTCAACTTTATGTTTTTTTTCTAAAAAACAGTTCTCCATATTTTTATTTTTCCAAAGATTGACAATGTCACCCCTTTAATTTGAAATACCGCATCCTCATCCTACCATATATGCTTTATCTCGTGGCGGATTCAGAAAAAAATATGACTCGGGGCAAATTTATGGTAAAGACTAGGGCTGGGGTTCGAAAGTTGTGTTTCCGAAATCTTTTTTAAAGCTATTTATAATGATGATAAATGAATGCATTTACTTTCAAATAAGTAAGATAAAATATTATTAAAGTAGAAAAATGTAATATTAAATATATAATAACCTAATAGAATTATGATATTGTTTTATCTATATATTTTACAATATTTAAATTATTATTTCTTACTTATAAACTAAAATTTTCTTTTGGCATCGAGGACATACATTTTTTAACCAGGGATGCTCTTTTAATTTATTATAATTTTTTTAAAACTATATACTTTCTACCTTCCATAAGATTTTTCAAAGACAAAAAAAGGCGCGCTCCAAAATGAGTAGTTTTGATACTCCCTCCGTTTCTTAAAACCATTCCTCTTTCATTTTTTTTTGTTTTTCTTAAAACACTTCCCCTTTCTATTAAAAAACCACTTTTACCCCTACTTTTTCATACTCTACCTATCACATCATACTTTTTCACTAACAACTAAACTATCACATCTTACTTTTACCCATCACATCAAGGGCAAATTTGGAAAGTCAACTACAATTTAACACTTCTTTATTATCCCCCAAAGTCAAAAGAGGAGCTCTTTTGAAAAACGGAGGTAGTATTATTTTCTATTTTAATTTATCATAAAATGACTATGGTAGTTGGAGTCATTTGGAGTAATGTAGGTTTAATTAGACTATAAGATTATATTTTCCAAATCTGAACAGAATGAATGATACATTTTTTTAGAATGAACACTACATTATTTATAAATAAATACTCCCTCCGTCCCCCATAGATCTTCCCAATAGCCTTTTTTCTTTATCCACAATAGATTTTCTCATTTCATTTTTTAATAAATAAAATACAACAACTACCCCACTTACTTTATTTATTACACCTCACCCACCTCATTTAATGCACTCTACCCATTTTCATTAAGGGTATTATGGTAAACTTTTACCTTTTTCAACTCTCCTTAAAAACCACCAAAAGTCAAAATGAGAACATATTAGGAGGACGGAGGGAGTATTATAATTATAAGTAAGGGGCTGTTTGGCAACTTCTGAATGGGTAAGTGCTGAACTAGTAAGAGGTCTGAACCATTAAGTGCTGAACCAGTAAGAGGTCTGAACCATTAAGAGCTAGTATATTGCTTAACTATTCAGAGGCAAATGTCTGATCAATTCAGATAAAAGGTCTTAACCATTTAGACTCTGTATAATACTTAACCATTCAGAGGCAAATCTCTTAACCATTCAGACATCTGAACCATTAAGAGGCTGAAACAAACAATCTGAACTATTAAGTACTGAACCATTCAGACATCTGAACCATTAAGAAATTGAAATTAAGAAGAGGATGAAACAAACAGCCGCTTGGGTACTTTTGTTCCGTCTACCTTCTGGGTCAACTGCATTCCCGTCTCAAATTTTCCCTCGATAAGTTTTTCCAATTTCTAGTCTTTGCTTCCAGAAAGATCAGCAGCATCCATCATCGAAGACCTTTAGAGAGCAAGTCTGCAATGTCGTCGTCGGCGATTTCTCGGCTCTGTTGCTTCTCTTCCATTAAGCCCCGTGCGCAGCTCCGTCCACAATTCTTTCCACCGCATTCTCTCCGGCCCAAGGTCAGTAGCGATCCATTTTAGTTTCCAGAGATGTCCGGAATATTCTTCCGTTTGTGAGATATTAATCATCGCACCTAGTGTTTTTGTACTTTTTTCCAATTGAATCAATTCTCAAAAATTTGAACTTTAGCGTCCTTCATCGCTCTCTCATGTGTATTGCATTGTGGTTGTTGTTGTTAGTGTTATTTCGCACAACGAACATATGAAACGAGCAACCGCAATGAAATTGGCTCCAGAAGAACAATCAAAATGTGCAGATTCGTACATGAACTAGATCTAACTTACTTTTCTGTTGATGGATGGATGCTTTTATATGTATCATTTTTGTACGTTTTTAGGCATCTGTAATATGAATGCTAAGCTTGGCTGTGTTTTGGTTTGAGTAAGACTTTTTTGCTTTTGAGATTGCGGAGTTATTTCAGCTCAGATCACTACGTCTTCAGGTTTTTATATGTATGAGTCATGATGGGCATGGCACAGATGTATCCAGCATAGAGGATAGGGCTAGTCTAAGCTATACATCAGAAAAACCACTTTCAGCTCCAGTAGAATCTGTAACTGGAAAAAGTTTGAGTGAGCCACTACAAGGACAAAATGAGCTGGTGGAGGGAGATATTTCCTCTCAACCTAAAAGGGCTGCAAAAATTCACGATTTCTGTTTTGGGATACCATTCGGTAAGTATCCCAAGTCCCAAGTATGTTGGATTTGCATTTCAAAAAGGAAATAATTACTTTAAGTTAATTGTTTGCATTAAGTCGTAGGTTCAAAAAGAAAAAGTTGTTTTAGTCACTCAGTCTCATACTCTCATTAATCGGGCAAATGTCCCCAACTCTCCATCAACCACTCAATATCTCAAGATTCCTTCTTATGGATTAGTACATGTGCTTTTCATTTGTAAACCAGATATTTATTTGTAGTTTCTCTGGTTCCCTTACAAAGATTTGAACTGACTAACATGTTGAAGTCCACCACTGAAAGAACTGAAATTATCACAATCTAGAATTACTGGTAGGTTGTTTGCAGGATGTACATATAAAAAAGAAAGCAGAACTTCCTTTTTAAAAATAGTTTTCTGATCATTTAAGCCTAAGCCTATTTTGTTGTGAAGGCTTTGCTTTGTTGGAACATTGTTTGATGGGAGAATTCTCTTACAGGTGGTTTTGTTCTAAGCGGAGGACTACTTGGTTTTATTTTCTCTAGGAATCTTGCCAATTTAGGTTATGGTGTTTTGTATGGAGGTGCTTTGCTAGCTCTGAGCATTACTAGCTTGAAGGTGTGGAGACAAGGAAACTCTAGCTTGCCATTTATACTAGGCCAAGCAGGTAGTTCTATTCCCTGCTGATAGTTGGTCATTTCTCATAGCTCACAAGTTATTGTATTGGACATCTTTAAAACTATGCTCCTTGTCATTATCATTTTGTGTATCAAACCACAAATATGGCTTACTTCATTCCAGTAAAAAAAAGAAAACTAAAAGGTCCTATTTGTTCAAGGTTTAAGTTTTATAATTATATTTGCAAAGTATTTATAATGGTTTAAAGTATTTACGAATATGCAAAAAAGCAGTGACAATGTTTTGCGCCTGATACTAAAGTTAAAAAGTTGTACACTGGTCAAAGTAGCTTCTTTTCAAGATCATTTTGTGAAGTTTGCTACCAATTGTATGCAACGCTAAACACAACTTAACAATTCTATTTATGATACTTTGAAGAGTTTATTTTATGATATATGCATTCTGTAAAGATCAGAACAAGTTTCTTATCATGCAACACACCGGTATGATTCTAGTACTACGTAAAATAAACTTTCAAAGTGCATTAATAAGGCCCTCCCTGCAAGCTCATATGCATGGTTGGAAGGAAATGGTTTGGTTTAATTGTATTTATGCGCCTAGTATTCCATATGCCCACAGCATGGGTATTGATTTCTGAATGCTCCTGAACTTTTTATTGGATGAATGTCTATGCATATCTGGTTGAGAAATAATTATTTGAAGTTCTGCAGATCTTTTTTGCTGTTGCATTTGTTATATGAAGTAGAACCATGTGATTAACCCAAGTTACCCAACTAGATTGGAGCTGTGATTGGTATATATTACTCCGTATTATTTATTGTATCATTGATCTAATCCTTTATTGTTTTGTCATGCTTTTGACCATGCAGTACTTGCTGGTTCCCTATTAGTGAAGAATGTGATGACTTACTCATTGGTATTTCGATACTCAATAAAGTTTTTTATGTGACTTTATAATGCTTTATTTAATTGGAAAGTTATATTTGATGCAGACAAAGAAAGTTTTTCCGACTGGCGTATATGCTACCATCAGGTATGCTGGTTTCATGATTTATTAAATTGTTACATTCTAAGTGCCTGTTTGGTTATCTCTTATTTCTTGTTTTATGGACCTGGTGTTTTTTTCATCAAACAATAATTTATTTTTGTTTAATTGTGCGGGTTGAATTGGCTGATAATAAAAAAAAGTGATGTAAAACTTTCTGTTTTTTTGCCCGAAGTTCTTGATATGAATGAAAATGGCACTTCTCCCTCATTTTCAGAACCCCTTTTGACCTGGAGTAGTGACTTTATTGTATTTAAGAAAATAAGCATTCTCTGTTCCTCGAAGAGAAATACTCCGGCTTCTTTTTCACTAGTTTAGAGTTGTATATGACCATGTAAGAATGTGGTAAAGAAGAATAGTTTGTGATCCAGAAAAGGTAATTATGGGCAAAATTGTCCATCTGCAAACAAATTTACAAAAACAAGTGAAACAACTATTTACTTATAACCTTGAGGAAATTGGAACAACTAAAAAAAGAAGTGATCTTTCCAATAATTAAACAATTTCAGACACAAATTGAGCACCCATACCAAACCGGATCAATAATACGGAGTATATTCTTGTGAACATGGGAATGGTCTTATTTGCTTAGAGTATGGGCTAACAATGATTCTCACCATATACTTTCTCTACTATAGTGCTGCAATGCTGTGCTTTTATGTATACGTGGTTATTTCTGGCGGCAATCCACCACCCAAGAAACTGAAGACGAATGCTTCTGCTTCTGCTGTAGCCACATCTTAGCGTTCTTGTCTCAGGTTCAAGGCGGGGATCAAGCAATTGGTTTCTGGCCGCATAAGGGGCCTTTCAACTTTGGTAAAAATCTCCGCTTAGCTTCTATTAGTCCTTTTCTTTGGCAACTTATATGTTGCAATCCGGCTTAAGCTGCAACTTGTTTACCTATTATGGCGATACTGAGTCTTTTTCTTTGTTATTGAAATTTTCTGAGCTGAAAAAGTACTCAATTGTAAGCTGAATAATTTAGTTCTGGTGGATGTTTGATGTGGATCTGTAATTACATTTTTATGAACCCATTATTTAAAAATCTGAATTCAGTTTTGATAAGATCATTATTCCAAGATATTTTTTTTATGACAATACACACATTACATCCTCTGTTTCGGTACAGTATGTTTATTTTCCCATTTTGGACTATCCTATATTTTTTGTTGTTCCAAAAGAGGTGTGGCAGGGTTGGACGGTGAGTGCTCGCCTCGTCCTTTAACCATGGAGGTCAAGGGTTCAATCCCTCACCATGGGAATGGATCACATTTCTTGGCCAACCGTTTCTCTCGCTTCGGGGAGGACCCGCGGCGTGGAGATTAGTCATCATTGTCTGAAATGGATATCCGGGTTTTATACCCAAAAAATGAGGTTTGGTATGATTTACTCCTTCCGTCCCTAAATGATTTACACTTTATTCAAAACGAAGTAAAATCTCAAGTTTTTTCAATTCATTTTATTTAAATATTGGTATATAAATAAAAAAAATAAAAATTCCATCTTTAAAAAGTACATCAAAAGTTCTACAAAATAAGAAGTGACAAAAATGTTTTATTTTATCAAATAGTCAATGAAAAGACATAAATAATAATAAAAAGTTCCCGTGATTTTTGAATAGTGAAATGTATAAATTATTTAGGGACGGAGGGAGTATACATGGTTTGTCAATTTCTTGGAGTGCTTTGTATCAACCATGCCATTCTCGTTTTTCTTAATTTGTGTCACCCTGTTATGTTCCAAAAATTTGGGATAGAAGAAGTGGAGTATATTTTAATAAACATTGGTGTAAAATTAATTTAATAATTACTAATGATAAGACAATTATTTTAATGTTGTAGACTTGAGTTCTTATACTGTTTCGTGCGTCAGTATTTACATCTACGTTTTTTATACCTATGATAAGACAATTATTTTAATGTTGTAGACTTGAGTTTTTATACTGCTTCGTGCGTCAGTATAATTAGAATATAATTGCACTCAACGAGAATCGAACACACCATCAGCATGCACAATCAACTAACTACTCGATCATACCTTAAGTTCTAGCTTTGACACCTATATGTCATTGACTACAATTCTCAAATACAATGTTATTAGTTATTCTTTTTCCCAAATATTATTCTTTTTTCCTAACAAGTTTCACTGTTTTTGTCATTAGTAAGAAGAGTTTCACAGGTGAGATAGAATGATGTTAATTGTGTCACTGGCGATTCCCAAATAAACCAAAACAAAACTAGAAATCGAAACTAGAGCTGAGGTGCAAGTTAGAATCAGGCCACAAAGACGGTCACCTGAGAGAAGGTGAACAAGGCAAAACTAAGAGGTTACATTTTTTATGTAGTCGGCCCACAACATTATGGCCCCACCACAAAATCTCTGACCTTCGACTTAGACCTATGGAATAGTATACATCGCTTGCCCGTAGTCATTCGGTCATACCCCAACTAGGGCTGAGATTTTTTTTAGAACGAGCATCGGTGCTAGTGATACTTAAAAAAATAGACTCAAATTCTCAAACTCATAAATAGACGAAAATATGCTTATTTTTGTTGGTAGGGTGACTCGAACTCAAGACCTCTTCCCATAAAGAGAGAATCTTAAATGTGGTGCCCGCATGAGTAGCTCAGTTGTTTTAGAAGTGGAATTTGGAACATAAGACCAAAGATCGAACCTCACCAGCGGCAGTATGGGAGCAATCTCTCAAAAAAATGAGGGGGACTCCTTGTGCGCAGTGGGCACTGGCACTGGTCCCAACCATGATTTACATCCTCTCACAATCTCGTCAGGTAAGGAATGATGGACGTCCGGGGTGAGCGATTTATCCTTTTGGAACAAGAATCTTAAATGTTTAGTCGTTGCCATCGGACCAATCCAGCTTGTCGAAAACAACACCGGCTAGATTATCCGAACGCAGAACCAAGCAGCGCCACCAACAGCCATGTCACCATCTTTGCTACATAGACTCTTTTAAAACATTGGAGGTAAACTTTTCACTCTAACCGGCCCACTGCATTGCTCCCCCATAACAAAAAAAATCGACTTTCGTTTTGGACCTATTGATTAGTATACGGCATTTGCCCCTATTCGTTTGGTTATACCCCAATTAGGGCTAAGATTTTATTAAAGTGTCGGTTCTTGTAATACTTAGGAAAACAAAATTTTGAACTCATAAATAAATATGCTAAAATATGCGGCAAATTTTTAGGTGGTCGTAATTAGGGGTGTAAACGAATCGAATCGAATCATAAACGAATATTTGAATAATCATACTATGTAATTTATATGATGGACCAACATCAATTTGTAATTTAACTTACGATACTCTTTATACTATACTATATTCGGTATATAAAAACATTAATACATCTGCATCTTACACAAATTATATTTTATAAAATATAACTATTAAAAATCATATGCTTTAGATTTTCGTGTTATGTTAATTTATTGAATTCTTAGTATTTTAAATACACTTTATACTATATTACTTTGCTTGACTTTTGATGTTGAAAACATGGTCTGTGTATATATACATATATTCGGATATTCGAATATCATCCGAATCGAATATATCCCTATTTGTATTTGTATTTGATTAATATTCGAATCAAAAATAATATTTGAATAACGCGAATTCGAATCATCATATTCGAATACAAATCGCGAATCGAATTTAAAATATTTGATTTGTTTACATCCCTAGTCGTAATCTTCATACTCATTTGAAGGATCTTTAGTATATACGGAGTAAATACCATATAAAGGCTTGGACTTTTGTAAAAACAAAAAACAAAAAAAAGGGATATGCTAGGGGTACCCAAATGTACACCACCCCTCTCTTTACCATTCATTTTATTTTGTTTTTAATTTTTTTTTTTGAATTTTTTTTTGCTTTTTTTTTTGTGGTGATGGAGGGGTGGGGATGTTTGGGGTACACTTTTGGTGTACCTCTAGCATTTTCCAAAAAAAAAAATCCACTAAGTCCAAACTCAAAGTACGCCTAAAGGATGCTAAAGATGCTAAGACCATCTCCAATGTATAGTGTAAAAATTGGTAGTGTAAATTACATTTTACACTATCAACATTATTTTACACTTCCACTTTTTAATACCTACTCCAACCATGTTTTGTATAATATACTCCATACTTTACATTTATTCATGTCCCTATCTACAACCAACTTATATATATACACTTTGTCAATTGTATTTTACCCTATATTGTATTTTAGCATTTGTTTTACCCTCTGGAGTGTCAAAAAGTTAAACACAAAGTCTAAATTGTGTAAATTTTTAGCATATAGCCTCTACACTGGAGATGCTCTAAATTAGCTGTGGTGGTGGTGGCAACTATACTCTCCCCATTTCTTTCTTATTGTTTCGCATCAAATTCAATTTTCGGCACTTAGTTCGTGGCTTTTGAGGTTTCCAGTGGACGAATGAATCAAACCCAAGGTTAAATATCTCTTTCCCTGCTGCTGGAATGGGGAAAAATGGCAGATTTTTTGTGATAATTCTTGTATTCTTAATCGTTTCGTGCTGTTCGAGCGCCTTTAATTCAACGACGAACAGTTCATCCATCGCTCCGCAACAGGTAATTTATTTATTTATTTTGAAAAATTAAATATTCTTTGATTTCTGTTGGGGAAAATGAAAAAGATGGTACCCTAAAAGATTCAATTTTTAGGGTTCGCAAGTGAACGAAACAGTAAGTGGTATTAAGGGTTTGAATGAAAGCTTAGGGATTGGAAAAGAAAAGCCTAAAGAGACTCAGAGGAGTGAAGATTTGAGTACAGGGAATGTGAAGGGCTCCAACAATGGAAGTAACCCGGCTGTTGGGACACCGCCTTCGAAATCAAAGGGTAATGAAGAGAAAAAAGAAGTAGAAAATGCCAGCAAGGACAAGGATAATGAGAGCTGTGAAGGGGCATTACAGGAATGCAACATTGAGAATACATTGCTTGCCTGCATACAAGTGCCAAGAAATGGTATAGTATTATCCATCTATTGCATAATACCCAGTACCTTGCCAGAATATTTTTTTCCCTTGGAGCTAGAACATTAAAAAATGGAAAAGAGAATGCGAAAAGTGGTGATTTGGAGTAAATGGGACCTAAATATCTTGATATTCAAATTCATCAAGAAATAAAAAACTTTTAGGATGCAAAATTTCCTTAAATTGTAGAATGTGAGCTCCTCCCATTCAAATAGTTTGAAAATGGTACTTTTCAGGATCCCTATTTTTCATAATATTGACACTGCTGAAGCTTCCATTTGGTTAGAGGGAGGATTGACTCTTGAAATTGTATTGTGGAAATTTTCCGTTTTAATTAAACCATTAACAATACAATTAGATGAATTTCATTTGGGGGGGGGGGGGG